TAGAAGGGGGCGGACTTGTCGTTAACATATTGTGGCATATTTATTTCTTTCATGCCGTCGCTGTCGCCATTCTCTTCGCACGTCAATTCCGCAAGAGAAAAAGAAGAAAAAATAACACACAAAATGAGAGGCAGCCAAAACGAACGAATTCCTTTAGTACGTGCTCTGACATTTCATTGTTGGGTGAGACGTGGAGGTGGAGTGAGGGGGCGCGGATGTCAGAACGGGCACACGGGTGCCATCAATGGCAGAGCAACCTTCAAATATCGCCTCCAAGCCAACTCGATGTCGATACAATTTCGTTTTGGCCTGTATTTCCTCAAAGTATTTAGCCATTACGTGGGGTATGCCCGCAAGAGACAATCAATTGGAAATGTTTAAGAAAAGCTATCACTGGATACATAAATTAGTTATTAACTATTTTAGATACCAGTTCACATAGTATTTCTAACAATTTCTAATTAACAAATGGCAATTTCTGATGACTTAGCTTTTACTAGAGTATTTAGCATATTTAACTTATATTCGACGTCTGCTTGAAGCATTGTTAGAGTATTTTAGTCACACACTGAACATCTATTTCACAGGTAGCTGGCTTTGCTTGTGTTTTTCTTTTCTTGTGTATTTTTGTCGCTATCGCAATGTGGCATGTCAATTTATTTGTCAAAGAGAAAAATAAGGCAGGTAGAAGTGTAAGCAGGTAGAAAAGAAATGGCAATAGCAATGGCAATAGCTGAAACATAAAAGCGTCACAGATACGAGAGCAACCGGCGAAGGCGAAAACAATGACAGCCTTAAGTTGAGCTACATATATGTGTGTGTCTGTGCGTGTGTGTGGGGGTGTGTGTCTGCATGTGTGTATATATGTCCAATCGGGGGCGTGACTCGTATGTCTACCTGTGTGTGTATTGGCAGCTTTAAGCACTCGCTGGCTATGCCTCCCAGCTAAGCAATCGATATTTATAGTTATGGTAATCGCAACGAAAGAATCGAGCCCTATTCGCTCCTTCCCGCCCTTTCGGATGGGTATCACGTTAGTCCAAAGATAAGAAATAATATCGTACGTTGGCATGAAAATATTTTCAGTCATATAAAATGCTAGACTCCATCACAGTTCCCGGCTTTGCCATTTCCTTCCCTCCCGAAGGCCAACGATTTTTTTCCTGCTGCTGCCGCACGTGAATAGTAACATTTGCTTCTTAATCTAAGCATTTTTAAAGCAAGCACACTTCGGCATCTACCTGCCACATTTTGCGTTCCCAGTTGCCGAAATTGGTAGCTGACAGCGATGCAAACTGACAGCTCAAACAGTCAGTTCTAATAATAAAAGCCGCTTGACATGAATTCTAAATGGCAGCTCCACTGAAGACAGCTTTCTTAATTAAGATTACAGCCAAAGCAGCTGCTCTGTCGTTAATTATGAGTAATTATGAGAAAAGGTTAACAAGCTGCAAGCCAAGTCTCAGCAAATATATATATATATATCTATATCTATTATAGGGCGATATATGTTCAAAGCTAAACATCTTTGAGCGCATCAATCATATGCTTTACATCTACACACTCTATTCATTCTTACCAAAGTCTTAAGTACTACTCAGCATATATGAGAAAGATTTGTTTCAAAATATGCCTTTTCAACATTACACTGTAAATAAAAAATTATATATAGAGAAATTTAGTGACTTTGAAGTTGGAATATATAAATTTAAATGTTTTACATCTGTGTCAACGTGGGAAAGCTATTTTCTTCAACATTTTTATAGTAGATTTTGCCATTAATTAAGTGATAAACTTATCTACAGTCCGATATAATCTCGTCCACTGTTGCTTTGGCAAATTATGATCAATTTTTATGTTCCATAATTTTGAAGCTAGGAGCACATTGACCTGCTCTACTGACCGAATTATTGTCTATAACATTCGTACTTGTTCTTCTCTGTGTGCGCCCCCATTCCATGGGGTTTCAGCTACGCTGTGGCGTCAACTGCCTGTGTAGCAGTTTAAGTTGCTCAGCTCATTTTACCGATAATGCGCTGCATTATTGACAGTTTATTAAATTGATTTCGTTTCGAGTTTAACAAAACATGTCATGCTGCATCGTCATCGGCATCAGCGGTATCATCTTTAACTTCATCATTCAAGGCGCACGCACAACTTGCCCTGACAATAGCAGCTTCTCCAATTGCCCCCAGCCCTAAGCCAATTGAAGCACGATGCGAACGGATGCTGCTCCAGCTTATATGTGACTTTTTATTGCAAGCAAGTGTGTGTGTGTGAGTGTGTGTGTGTGTTGGGGCTAAGTTAAGTGCTCATAAAATATTTGCAAATGTTTGGGATGTGTGCTAGGAAACACTACGCTTTAAAGCATACTCACGGCACTGAAGAATGTCGATTTTTTGATTCTAATGCTGTCAATTAGGCCCTGTAAATAGTTAAACGCTTTTGCCAAGCAACGTGCCCATCCACAGACTAAAAATCCACAATTGTGCTCATCTCCTAACTGCACCACAAAAACAAGAGCTTTTTGTTTTATTTTGTTTTGTTAAACCCGAGTCTATTGGTTTTTCACTTTTCGGTTTTGAAAGTGGTCAGAAAGTTTATACGCCTTGTGCGTGTCCATAAGTAATTGTGTGTGTGTGTGCGTGTGTCTGTTGTCCGCAATGAACTCGGTCAGCTCTCATATAAGTTTTGAGGGGGAGCCTCTTGCTTTTGCTGGCGAAACTTTTAACAAATTCATTAGCCAAAAGAAACGCATCATTTTACATTTGATATGCGAAAAATGTGAAATGCCAAAAGTTTTACGAGTAAACAATTACGAAGCTGACCAAGCAGCTGGCCAAGATGTCAGTTTATGAAAAGGATAAAATCAACCATTTGCAATGAAGGTATGGACATTCATAAATTTGCTGGCATTCATTAAAACAGAATGCAGCTGCACTGCAAAGACGCAAAGTGCAAAACCTTAATTGAAATATAAGACAGCTTCTGAATAGAGAGGCACATATGCAAATAAATCAGTTGGAATTTATCAAAGTTTTGGAAATTTGAATATCTGATGTTACATTTCGTATTTACCCACTATCTGTAACAGCTTCCAACTAAAGTACATATGTGTACGAGTAAACTATGTATATTTCAATTTCGCTTTTTGCTTTTGTTTTTGTCTAGGCGCTGTTTGTTCAATTCCATGAAGGAGAAAATCAAATACAAATAGCAGCAGCAGCAGCAGCAGCAGCAGCAGCAGCAAGCATGGCCAACCCATTTGTAGTGTTTGTCTCAATGCACAGTTTGCCAAGCAGTTGGCTCTGGTGTAAAACAGGAAATGAAGTATACTTTTAGGCGCACTTCACGCACGCAAGCCAATACGCACAGACACACACACTGACACGGACCATACATATACTGGTGAATACGTTTACATAAGCAGAACGACGTGTGTAACGTACCAAATTGTTATTTATTTTTAGAAGTGCTTCGCTAGCAGGTGCGAGCAGGTGTCCTCGTATCTGTAGCTGTATAGCCATAGCTATGCATCTGTGTGCCAACACACGCACAGCCATACATTCGCCGTCACATTTGCCAAATTTACCGTGTAATTATCAGGAAAAACGAGAACGGCGCTTAATGCTACCCAAAATGCAACAAGAAATTCGCAAACAAAAAGTCCCTGCTGTCTGTTGATATGCAAATTTTGTAGCTTTTCATATGTTTGCCTCTGTGTTTGTGTCTGTCTGCTGGCGCTGCTTTGTTTGCCCAACTGGCACATGGCCGACCAGCCAGCCAGCCAACCAGCCAGCCGAGCGCCTAAATGTTCGAAATACGTTTTGAATTTTCAGCTTTTCCCATTTCCATATCATTTTTGGTCATTTTGTTACTCACGTAAGCCGATACTCAGGTTGACTGCATCGACTACCAAATGCAGCCAGAGCTAATAAACCAATTCCAACTGCGGGTTAGACACAAATTCATAAATAATTTTATATTTATAAATTACAATTAATTTGTGACTCGTATTATGTGTAATCCGTAGTTGGTTTTTTATTACATTTTTTACTCCTAATTGATTTCGTCGATAATCTGGCACATCGCGCATACGCCCCTTGTGTCCAAACTGTAATCAAACTAAATAATTGTTGTCGTTGGCCGTGGCTGCGATAATGTAATCAAATTGAGTAATTTTACGATATGAGCTAATCCATTTGGAAAATCCCCATACGCATAACAAAATCAGCGCTAAGCGCCTTTGTCATTTGATTTAATTACACAAAAAATTCAGCCTAATGCAGAAAAAGTGTAGGTGAAACCTAAATGAATTGCATAAATAAATTATTTTACTAAAATAAATAACAATTGACTTTTCACTGAGTGGTCAAAGTTTCTGCTACACTCTCATATTATATTCATGTTTATTGTCAGGGTATTATAATATCAATTAAGAACTAGTAAATTCGAAATTGAAATTCGGAATTGAGGCTGAGGCAGAGATGGAAAAAGCGCAACGTATGTTAACTGAGTATGTGGGTCAGTTAGTATGATCTGTGAATAGCCTGAGGTAAGCAGGCCTGCTGAGCAGACATTACAAGCAGAGAGCTTGTGCTCCCATTTCCCACAATTTCAATTGAAGCAGCAAGCAACCTAAACAACAATACCAAAACTATTCGATACATAGTTGAAAAACAATAGCACTGTGGCTTCGCTTCCTTTTTACCCATTTATGAGTGAAGTGATTTCCGTTGTGGTTCTGTTGTAGTCGTGCTCCGTGCTTGTGCCTGCCAAGTGCTTCGAGCGTCTGTGCATTCAATGGAGTGCACTTTCCACAAGGAATACTTGAACCCCCAAAGAAAAGACGCACAACAATAAAATGTACATGGCTTTTGTTTGAATACTCGCACCAAGTTCTGCATTCAGTTTTCAGTTTTCAGTTCTTAGTCCAGGAATTGAATACGTTGCGTATACGTATTTGTCAGTTCATTGGCATTGTTCATTATTTTGAATGCAGAGTGCGAGTATGCCAGCAATTGCTCTAAAATATATGGCCCGGAATACAATGGCGGTATGGAAATCATCTATCAAATGAATTGTGCTTCTGTTTATTGATGCTTGTCATTAACAAAATATACGTGAGTTTTTTTCTTTATTGGAAATACTAAGCCCTTAAAGCTGGAAAATATGATTGGGGTGATAGCTGAGGGGCAGAGATTAAAGCCGTACAAATTGCATCACTTTTCTAATCAAGAATACTCACATATCCTCGCGAGCGTAGCGTAGAGTTTCTACCAAGCGGCTAAGTGGATAAGAGCCTACGCAGATGCGATAAATAGTGGTGAACAATGGAAATCTGCAAAGAACATTAGATGCTTCAGTTGAGAGGCTTTCGATATAATCTGTAATCTACAAACTTCTCCTCTAGTCCCTTCTTTTTGAGCATAATGTTCACCAGCTCCGCGGTAACGGGACCCAGCGGCTCTTGGATTGGAACCAGCAGGGTCTCCAGTTCACTTAACGGCTGGCCAGTCTTAACGAAAGCCTCAGCCAACTTTCGATTTCGATTGGCTGAAAAAAAAGAAGAAAAGTTTATCTCAAAAGTTATTACCTATATTTAGCTGGTCTACCATAGCAGCTGGTAACCAAGTCGGATAAGCCACACGATTCAAAGAAAGTTGCCAATCGACTGCCTGGATAGAACACATCAACGAATTGTAGAGTCTCCAAAAATCCACGTCTGATAATACCACCCTTTGTATTCTCATTCAACTCCATGCCATCCGCTAAGCCAGCGCCAAAGGAAATGATGTTCTAAGTGAATTCAAGAAAAAAGTTAGATATAAGATACAGATAGATAGGCATAGGCTTACCCTTAAAGTCGAACAGATTTCGACACAGTCCGCGTCATCTGTGACGACCACACGGAAGGAGCTCGATTTGAATAAGTCTTGCAATATACGAATATATTTTTGATCCCGGCAGCCGATTGTGCCCTCAGCGAAGTTGCCGAGGGCGACCTCATGGGCCAAGTTGCAGCCCACCAGCACCGAACACGGTATCTAAATACACATGATTGCAATATTAATCAGATCTGTTTCGCCCTCTCTTGCAGCACTTTTATAATCACCTTTAACTGCCGCATTATGAGATGGGAAATTAAAAGTATTTGGCCGTCATCACTGCGCTCAAAGCCCTTGATAAGGGAGACTGCGTGCGCCAGGGGCTTCACCTTGCCCAGCAGAGTCTTGCAGCAGCTGTTCACAAATGAGGCCGGAATAGCAAAGATCAGAATGTCTGCATCACGCGCCGTTGTGACCACATCATCAAAGGCAACCTGTTTGTTGGCCACGCACTCGTTGAGCTGCTTGTAGTTAACGCCGAGTCGAATCGCTACTTACTATATTTGGTGGCAACACGAAGTCGGGCATGTACTTAACATTGACATGGGTGGTGTTAATAATTTCTGTCAGTCTGCGACCCTGGATGACCTCTTCGTAAACGTACATATTCACCTTTGGCTCCATGCTCTGCGAATTGGCCACATTGTTGCCCACATTTCGGGCAATTGTTGTTGCCCAGTTGCCAGAGCCTATAATGCACACGTTTAGCCGATCTGTCATGGTTTTCCCAAATAAGTGTTTAATGTGTTCAACTACTGAATTAAAATTGCAAGTATAGCTCTGTATACCTGATTGGGTATTCTGATTGATTGGACTATGCCGACTCTTCTTTAGACCTTAACCCTTTTGGCAGCTCCGCAGGTTAATTTGCTGTTTAACATTGCGTTAAATTTGCAAATGAATTACATACGCTCTCTCACGGGCGGCCAGCGGACCTTAAGTAGGATAATGTAAATTACATATTTATGCATATTTATATTTACATATATTCATTTATGTATACGATATGCGGTTCAATGTGCGAGACGCACACAAAATGCCACGCATGCATACGGCATACTCTACATGCTTATTGATTGAGTTCTGGTCAAATAATTCATCAGAGAATGTGTACAAGCGTACATACATGTATTCATATGTATGTATGCACACGGCCGCCCCTTCGGGCGGCAGATAAGCATATGTGATGGGCGAAAAATTACGCATACGTCACGTTCGCCAAACTGGCTGGCAAATAATTAACTGTGGCTCCCAGCTTCGTCCGCTCGAGCCAAATTTTATTGTGCATGCGAATTCATGGCATATCCATTCAATAATGTTTGCCATGTAAAATATGAAGCCGCCGCGCGTATGTACACACATTCCCGCCTTTCTTTTTTAATTACGCACTCGTTTAAGGTTCACTGCACAAGTGTTCACTAATTTATGAGCAGCCGGAGCAGAAAAGATGACAGCAGAATAAATAAAATACTTAATTGCACACAGGCCAACAATTTAAAAGGCCGAAAGCCAAAGTGAAAGTTTCTGCAACGAAATCAATGTGGCAAGAAAGTAAACACTTTGAAATTGTGCACCGACTGCGGCGACATCGACTGCAGAACGTAACGAATACGCACACACAGGCACATCCACACACACAGCCTACACACCCACGCCCACTGCTCCCTGCCATCGCCACTCGACTATGAAATCAAAATGGATGATGGGCTAAATGAAAATGGAATTTTTAATGAGTTGGCCAAGCGAACGGGCAAAACAATGGTTATGTGGGCGGCAGAGGCTGCACAGATGGGCGTGGCAGCCGAATGACACAATATTTAAAAGCAGAGAGAGATATGTATTCCCAAAATAACTGTGACTTAAAAAACAGTTCATTTATTCAAGAAGCTATGTTTTTAAATCAGATATTTAGAGTATGTCAACGGTGATCCAGTTTCAAAATTGATTTTTTTTTAAACTGTGCAAGATATAATTTTAATCAGTTCGTTGTTAACATTATCTGGCTTGTTAAAAACAATAGATCATGTTATTTAAACATTTTCGACTATATATCAATACGTATTGTGGGAAGCTGCTGAGGTCTTTCGGTAACGCTGACGCGAATCATTTATGAAAGCTGAATTAAAGGCTTAGTTTACTTAGTATAGTTAAAAAGGATTACTTTGTGATATATTTATTTATTAATGAAAAAGTTTGTCAAGAGAAAAGATTGTAAAGCTGCTGCGTGTATCAGTCACTTTACTATACAAAAACTCAGCATATTATAAATTGGAAATCTCTAACATCGAAAAGCTTGATATGACAGCAATACCTTGCAAAAACCAATATACTCATTTCAATTAAAAAAAAAAATATATAAAACATAAATAAAAAAGTTTATCAAAACTTTGTGAATGTCAAAGAGTGAAAATTAATATCTGCATTGCCTACTGCTTGGATATAAAACATAGAAACACAGCCTTAAAACTTAAATATAAATTGCCAATCCGATATGAAGCTTAGCCTTGATTTTAATCAACTTGCAGTGCGAGCCTGACAAAAATTGATTTCATAAAAACTAACTTTTACTGTGGCTATCACAAGTCAGGCAATCGCAAATATTTTTTCCCCACAGATTGTAGTAGAATTTATATTTTTAAGGAAATCAGAATAATATGACTACTGTCTGTATAGTGAGTTTGACTATACGACGTTTCGCCAGTAGCACATCAACGTGGCATCTTCACATCTGTTTGGCTCACAAAACGCAGAGTTATTATTTTTTGACTGGCGCATAAAGTTAAGCATCACAGAGACAGCTCCAACTGGCATTAACCGCAGTTACCTTCGGCTAGGCAAGCAGACTCAACGGGTAATGCTGATACTTAATGTTCTACTTAAATGCCCTGTAAGAACTGTAAAAAGACCCTCATCTCTTTCATAACTAACTTATTTACTACTAAAAGGTGTTTGATTTCGTAGCAGCGTAAATAAAGTTTCCAAGCAGCTTTAAGAGTTTTAAGCAGCATGAAAATTGCATAGAAAGGCGTTTTTCTCTAGTTATGCGCTATGTTAAGTAAGTCTAAGTTGTGCTTAAGTAATATAACTCAAAGCATCTGCTAGTCGAGCAAACTCGACTTTAGCATTTCTGGCTCTGTGTTTTTATTTTGGTAATTTTTGCCAGCCACATCGAGCTCCATTGCCCTTGCAATTCTTCGCGTGCTCTAATGCTTGCATTTTATTACATTTAGGACTTATACAACTTGCCACCTTCGCATACCCATTGCTGGCCCTTTGTCTTAGCCGAAGTTGCTCAGAAGAGACGGCAGATGATGTTTTGCAGTACAAACTCGAGTCGTAAATAAAATTCTGGCTGTGTTTTGTATGCGTGAACGTGTGTTTTTGCCTATGCGGAACGAGAAAAGCAAAGTCCAAACTAAAATCATAATTCTAGACCTACAATAAAGTGCTCGAAATAGATGAAGAAAAACTAAGGAATCGGGCAGCCACGACAGTCGCCACAAGGCTAAAGACATTTTATGACGCACTTGAGCTCCACATTGAAGAGATGCTGAGACTACTAAATAAAGTCAGCACAACAAGTTGCATGGCGCAGATACGAATCGTATCGAGGAAGCCAAACATTGCTTTAACGGCTGAAAGCTCGCTGCTGTGGCACTCGTTTTGCCCAAAAATAACTAAGCAAAGAAAGCGCGTTGTGTATTCTGCTATTTACGAGTCGGTTGCCATTAGATAGCTGCTGCAAACTTTGGCCCGTCGTCTTTAAATGGCATTAAATTACGCGGCGAGCAAAGTTTGACAAAAGTTTAAGACTGCGCCAGCTCCAAGTGGAAATCAGATACAGATGCGGATACAACAAAGCGGGCTGGGAATAGAACTGCGAATGCAAGAGGGATCGGGCCAGCTCCTAACTATGCAAACTCCAACTGCATGCCTTGGCAGGCATGGCATGGCGTGGCGTGGCATGGCGTGTGGCTGGGCTGACTATGAATAAAATCAAGATAAACTACTCACAATATTTACTTTTAATTGGAGAAGTTCAAAGAATAAACAAATGCGTAAAAAAAGAAAAACAAACTTTTGTTTCTGCCACATCGATTGGCCCTTGATTAAAACAGGGCCTCATCAGCAATTCAGCTCTACTCAGGTTACTTTAAGTAAACACATTTTACGGACTGCATTTAAAGCTTCAAATATTTAACGTCTCGGACAACATTTTTAGCGCTTTGCCTTTCCCTTCTAATTGTTTAGCTATCTGCATGCAAACGAGACGCGTCTGCAGTTCGCTTTAATGTTTCTTGTTTTTCAACACACACACACACACACATATTTATATATGTATATACATATATATTTTTCCTTTTGCTTTGCTCTAAATGGTAATTAAAATATGCCTGGAGATTCGACTGGACTCGCAGCTGGGTCAAATGCTATCAAAGCTCGCTCTTGTGGTGTCATCCAAAGGCAAAGTGCGAAGGCGTCTGCTTTCCCATTCACTCTTCGCACTCTTCGTTCAGGCTAATCTTGGAGGAGAATATTTTAATTGGATGAGCAGAAACTGAGCTCTTGTTGTTTAGCAGTTGTCCAACTCAGCTGAACTAAAATGCGACTGAATTTAAATAAACTTGATTCGAATATTATATATCAAAGGGATTCCTCTTTGGCTCATGACTTAAAACTTTGTTCCCAGTATTTAAAGTGTTTGCTGCTCAGCTGTCGCAACACCTGAGGGCCTCTTTAAAGCACCTCGAGCACCTGGTCTGCCAGCAGAAACTGTGTCAGCGCAGCTATTTGCTTCCAACGGCATTTTTTCACGACTCGGCTGCTGTTTGCCGCTGATGGTGGCATAAATACCTATGTCTGAGTGTGTGGCACGGCAAGCCCCAGCTACTATTTAGCGGGTAACAGCCGCGCTGCTCATAAATGTAAACTTTTTCGGCTAGTTTCATGTAATTATTGCCTGTGCTCGCCCAACTGAGTAATTCTTATGGCCTGAGAGGCAGCTATGAGGCGGGAGGACGTCCTGGCATGTGCTGAGCTTTTGGCTGAATTTCCATGGCCGAATCAACAGACTGTGACATATTTCAAGCAGCTTTTGCATTTGAGCTGATTGCCAATTTAATCGCTACACAATTTCCGTACGCTGACGGCGAGGGCGGAGCTAAGTGACGATTAGCAGCAATGGGCGTGGCACGCATAAAAGATCTTGCCAACTGGATTTTCTCATGCTTTCGCCGCAAACGCGCTCAGCTCATATGGCTATACGTGTGTAAGCGTGTGACTATGTGTGCGTGTTTGTTGGATATTTTATTTATTTATTGTGCTCTGAGTGTGTGTGTGTGTGGCCTCTGTGTGTGGCATGTGTGCCCATGTCCTGGTCGCGGCACATAATTCTGAAACGTGCCTTGCATATTTTTTTTTCTGCCCGACCTTCCCATACTTTTTTGCGTGCTTGAAAGCAACGCATATGTATATGCCAGAAAAAAGGAAAAACCTCAGAAATTGCATTGCATTCAAAGCACAATGTAGAGAGAATGCTGTCAAAGTCGCGCGATCCACTCAATTAACTTGGTCTGGCAAAGAGTTGCAACAAATTGTTGAATCCAGCGCTTCTAAAGAGATTGCCTTTGACTCTTCATTTAAGAACTCGATTCGAATTTTAGGAACTCAAGCTGAAAATAGTTTCACTTGTCAACTTTATATATCTATAGAAATAGTGTCCACTGAGCCCTGTTGTGCCGAACTCTGTGTGGGCTTGTGTAGAGCTGCATGTGTGTATTAGCCTAGCACACATGAAGCGAGTTGTTAAATTGTTAGCGCCGTTTCTGAGGTTTGCATTTGTTATCTATCTCTGTCTCTGTCTCTACCTCTATGTCCGTCTCAACATTTTTCAGTCTGTCGGCTGCTATTTTGCTGGGTTTTTTGTGACGCTCAGCTAGGTGGCTGTTCGCACTGCCATTTTATGCCACACACACAGTCAATCATTGGCCCGCACACGTGCATATATTTTCACCGAGCGGTTCTGCCTGTATTCTGTGTGTGTTTTATATACCCTGATGCTATTGAAAATGGGAAATCGGAGTATAATGGTTTTGTGCAGATTTATGTAACAGGCAGATGGAGGCGTGGCAGACCCCATAAGGTATATATATTCCTGATTAGGATGACAGGCCGAGTCGATTGAGGTCTGTCCGTCACATTCAAATGATATTCTTTTCTATTCCAAAAATCAAAACTTCGATTGAATTATGCTTGAATTGCCAGTTCTTATTTAAGTTGAGATTTGGCGCTCGTTGCCGACAAGTTTAAGGTTCGATCTTAGGGCTTTTTCATGGCTTTTTCTTAAATTATGGTGGCGATGTTGGTATCCTTTGCGTAGGCAATGTTGGATCTCGTTTTGGTGTCGTAATATCTGTTTTTATTTGTTTTCATTTTTTAATACTCGATGCACACTATAAAAAAGAATAAAAATCTGCTTATAGGACTGGTTTCGGGGTATCTCCTAGTCGGGCACTCCGACTAAAGCTCTCTTATTAGTTATTTCTATTTTCATTTCTCTTTCATTTCTATACCCTGTACTCATTGAATATATGTATTCAAGGTATAATGTTTTTTTAAAACAAGCATAAGGAGGCGTGGCTGTTACCATATGTTATATATATTAATGATCAGTACAACGAGTTGAGTTGACCTAGACGCATACAGCCTCCCGACGTCCGTCCGTGTGAGCGCTGCCATCTCGTAAACAACAAAAGCTAAAGACTCCAAGTTTTAAATATAGATTTCTGTATATCATTTTTTCGATAACTCTTTACCTAGTTATCGTTCAAACGCTGCTTGAATACCATAAGTGATGCAAACATCCTAGTTCTTGTAGTAAAGTCCCGCTTATTAAGCAGAGTTCGTGCTTGCACAGGCACAGGCATAGAATGATTGGAATATCAACTGCTCGCTGGATTCAGGGTATCTCCTAGTCGAGCCGTCTCGACACGAACGCACTTGTTTATTTCTATTTTCATTTCTCTTTCACTTTTTACTCTTGTTTTGTGCAGTTTTTCATGCGAGTCTTTCATTGTTTTTGGCTGTTTTGGGCCAGAGCACACAACAAATAGACTTTTAAATATTTTTGCACTAAATTTATCTGACGGCTGCGGGGGCGTTCACACATTCGCATGGCCAGAGATAAGATTTATGACAAAGCACCTGCGGTGAAATGGCAATGCACAAGCAAATAATCTAAAAAGTGCATATTTTCGTATGAAGATATATTTTTTTGTAGCGTCTTTTTTTCTCTATAGCTGGGCAAACATTCAATTTAGGAAATACTCAATGCCAGCTTGCAAATAAATGAGTATATTCGCTTTAATATATTACCTCGCTCTACGCTCTCATAACGCCTACAATATTTTCTACTTAAGCGCTGTTTTTGCTCCGGTTGTTATCCAAGCTCATTTTTTAGAGCTCAGCCTTGGCGTCATTTTTGGCATTCATTTTTCGGCAGCTATTTGTATCAAGTGTCTTAATATCAAAGTGACGCCTTTCATTTATTTTTAGATGAGCTTTTATCAAGCCGGCTTGTCATGGTATTTAATTTAATGTTCACTTGAATTTTATTTAAGCTTGTTTGCAGGCCTGTTGCAAGTCGTCGCATATAGCTCGTAGTTGGTGTGCCGGGAGTGGCCATTTATCAAGTTTTCACTTGGCTCCATTTGTAGTTTCTTTATATTGCAATTTATAGAAACTATGTTAGCGACAGTGGGCGACAGCAGAGCTAGTCTGCAAGGCGACAATGCGAGTAGTATATGAGAATTTATTTGTATTGCGATTCGCAAATTTATTCAACTTTTCGCATATTTCACAACAATAAACTTGAGCAATTTCAACTTCTTTGGCTGTGTTTGGGCTCTGGCTCTCTGGCTGGACAGGAATTTATAACGTGAAACTTTTACATTTTGCAAATCATTTTTAACATCTGCGGCAGGTTAAAGTTCAGCCAGTGCAAAAACTTTGCGAATTAAACGGCAAAAAGCAAAGGCAAAAGCACAAGCAAAGGCAACATTCTCATATTTATATCTCGCTCAGCGGACGTTCCATTTAAAATGAGTTAAGCTGTTAATGGCACAATAATGCGAAAATAAAATGCCAAAAGCAGAGAATCCGAACACGCGCTAAGACCCGATGTCAGCCAGAGATACTTGTGGGTCAACCAAACACAACAAATGCGGTCATGAAAAAATACTGCGACCCGAGCACAGTTTAGTCAAGCAAGACGAGAACTACATGCGCTTGGAACTTGGAGCGGGCGTCGATGTGGTCCAGCACAAGATGCTGACCGCAAGCAAATGACAAGATTTATGGCCAACTAATCGACATGGCCGAGCCATAAATCCAATTCGAATGTCAAAAGGTTGCGTCCAAAAGGTGAAAGCCAACCGCAGATTAAAGCTGCATTTGAATCCAGCTTTTACATTCGCTTCAAAAGCAAATACATTTTAACTGTCTGTTGTTCTTCGCACATGTCGCACGAATGTCATTTGGGAACTTTGAATGCGGCTATTGATGAGGGGCAAGAGAGCGAATTAAGCTTATTAAAAACTTTTTGCCAAAACGGTTCGAATCACAATTTGCACGCATTTGCCATGGGCAGCCGAAATAAAATAATTTGTGAATAAAACTAAGAGGAATAAGCTTCAGAAGCCTCGGGCAAATCTCAAGCTGATTTGCAAACAATTTGCTAAAAACAAAAAGGACGAGCACTAAATTGCGCAACGCCACAGAAATGAGATGAAAAGTTGCATCGAAACTCATTTGGTCAGTTTTTAATGGATTGTTCAGTGTGCACTTCACGCTTTTTAATTAAATGTGTTAAGAGAAAAGTTCGCATCCAGCCACGTCACAAATTACTTTTTCCCGAAAGACAATTTTTGAATAGTTTTAAAGAGTTTAACGCCAGCCGTTTTCGAATATATTTTCTAAATGCCTCGAAATGCGAAAAGGGTTTCACAGCCTATTTAAGTTGTGCAGGCAATGGGAGGGAATATTAGGAATATCTAAGCATAACCACATCAGACAGACCTAGCTTGGTCGATGCTTGTATTCAAATTATTTATATCTTGCCCCAAAGTCAAGCCTGGACATCATCATCGACATGTGAAATGCCTGAAATCCGAGTTGTAATTACCTCTTGGCACCCGCAAACATATAATTAACCTAACGATAACGAGGGGCGGCATGGGCGGAAGGGCGGCGGGACGACTTGATTTTAGGCTACGTTTGTTGTGTTAATGGCTTCCGGTATATGCGTGTGTGTTTCTGTGAGTGTGTGCGTGTGCGAGCAAATGGTGGCCATTATATGTCGTTGTTGCTTGTTCACGGCAAGTGTAATTGCAATGCCAGCAATGGGCTCGGCACTTGTGAATTTGAAACTTTTCAATTAATTAATGTTGGACTAACACAATCGCTGCGAAAATGATTTGAGCCGCATACACATTAACCTGCGACCAAAAAAGTTTTTAATTTATTGGCTACAAGGTAAATTCTAAATTTGTCCATGATTCGCACCTGGGCAAAAAATAAAAAAAAAAAGAAAATATGCTCGAGTTCTGTGGGGCTTTAAGTTCTTAACTGATTGCCAAGTTCTGTTGGTGACATTTTATTTTAGCACTCATAATTAAGTGTTAGCCCGAAATATGTCTGAAACATGAAATGAAATCTTGTTACAAATTAATTGGCAAAAAACTTACAATGCTCGCTGAGGTTGAGCTCGGACCACGGATGAGGCTTAGCGGCGGCCAGTCCCTATCTGCCTAAAGTATGTGTGTATTTGGGTATGTATGTATAGGCAATTAACCTAATGATAAAGAGGTTGCCAACGATTCGGGTTTGAGCTAATGAATTGCTTGTGAAAATTACACCAAGGCCTCATCACGATGTAGCCGTATTCCGTCTGGACTGTACATGTATATGAGACGTCACAAGAAGTCAGACTCTAAATAAACAGAGATATAAATGTACTCTTATATATATTTAAGCGCATGTAAATATATCTTTCCCTTGGCGACACTGACCAAGACACATTTTTCGTCACTCAGTAATTGCATATTTGAGGATACTGCTGAGACTAAGAGAAATGATAATGATAATGATAATAATGATGATGCCGCTGCTGCTGCTGATGATGATGTTGTTAGCCCAGACGGCATATTACAATTAGTTTTCCTTCCAGCTGTGCGCCTTTTGATGTCGTCGCTCAGATCGTCGGTAATATGAATGTCAAGTTTTAGTGCCTAATTAAAAGCATTTTCAGAGCGCGCTGAATGCTATTAATTTATGCAACATTTATTTATAGCCAAGCAAATGTAAAATATGTGAGTACATAGTTTAAGTAACATAGTATTCGATGCGTATATATTCACATATATATTTAACGAGAATGTAAAATGTCAGTAACTTGTCTAAAGGCAATAAGTGAATATAGAGTAGTATTGAAGAGAATTTATTTATTTAAATTTTAGTTTAACGTTAAATTTTGGCTCAAAGCGCATTGCAATGGATCCAACTGATGAAATATTCCTTAACGAGTACACGGGCCCTTCTACAGTTCGATTGGGCACTGAACGATTGGACTGCGATAATCTGGGTAAGAATGGAATATGTTTGTAATATTTCAACGTTTATATGACTGAGAATGGCATGTTACAGATGGTCTTACCGAGAAATGGGAGGATCCGAATAGGCCTACTTTCCTGACTGTTCTGCTGCGCTTCTTTGGCAATATATTTGGTATGCAATACAGACAGGCCTGTGTGGGCGGCCCTAACTTATCATATGACATTCTATTTCAGTTGATTGCTTCAGAGCCATATTTAGTTAAGACCGAATTGCTTATATCAAAATGTCGAGTCAGTGCAGAATTTTGGAACAAAGAATTGTGTAAATCAATCATAATAAATAAACAGATCATCTAATTTGGTAATTTCAGAATTTTATTTTTAGCATTCGAAATTTTAAAAATATTAATGACAAACAACTATGTCGTGTACTGGCATTTTGCAATGGCAAGTGGAATAAGTATACAATATTTCGAAGGCCTCGTCAAGGAAACTCTCGAGCTTGTCGAGATTGCGAAAGATATCCTTGTCAATAGTGATTTTGTTTCCATTCCAAATGCTCCAGCGGCGCATGCTTGCAATCACATCGGCACAGAAATTGTTCTTCTCTCGTTCACTTCGTTGAAGAATCTGATTTATTTGATGGCGACGCTTCCCTGTAAAGTGAAGCTATTAGTTAAGAGGACCTGCACCCGCAGTGAGTGATAAGTAGAGGACTTACTTTCAGCCAGATTATGATAGACAATTTTAGCTTTGGGCTCTGCTTGTGATTTCTCGTAAGCGGAAATGATTTTAAACATTCGTGCGTCGACGTCCTTAGTGTTATACAAGGACTCTTTGCAATGAGGCTTACAAGCGGAATTGAAATTGGGACCCTTATACGGCGCATTCGCGTAGAACCTAGCATCTTTAAATTCCTTTCGGTGCCTTTCCACCATGTTCTTGCGATAGGCCATGTCCGAGTGGACGCGGATGTTATGGAAGCGATATTGAGTGCTGGCCAGCAGCTTCTCTACACGCGACAGACAGCTGGAAAATCGGACTTCGACTTAGTCCCATTTATAAACATGAGTTCTAAGCCTACTTACTGCGAATTGCGTAGTGAGTATACGCCTGGAATTTGATAAGTTCGCATCATGTAATGCAGCTTGAAGGCCACACAGTTCAAGAGATCCTCGGCAGCACAGTTCTGCATTCTGACCAGACCCTTTGAGTCGTGCATCGTCTGACGTATCTTCCAGCCGCGGAAGAGCGCTTGAATTTTCGTTGCCGCTCTATTGTAGCGAGATAGCAGCAAATTTTGGATTTTATTCTCAACGAATTTGAATAAGGTCTTGCGCTCCCAGTAGCCACGCCACCAACGCTGGATGATGTTCGCTGCCTGCCACTCTCTCTTCAATGAACACCGAGTTTTAAATCCGCGCCAATGTCTTTGTATCTCTCGAGCAGCCAAGAATTGCACATAGTCCATCAAAAGAATTGGATTTCTAAGGGTAACGAAGATTAGCGAAGGTCGAAATGTAACTTATTGATAGCCCGCTCTCTCTCTTAAAGCATGTACAGATTAGGTATATGTTCTACTGTCGTCATCAGAACTTACCGCGCAATCAGCATTTGCGAAGAAGCAGTGCAACATGAAATGATCGAACCGACATCGACCGATATCGACCTTGAGTATGAGAACAAATTCAAACTAGTTTTGATATAGTAGCCGAATAAACTTACACTATATTATCGGTTAGTCGTTGCTTTGAGTTCTTAGTGACATCGCGAAACATAGTGAGTGTCTTCTATCGTATACCAAAGTATAATATATTGGAGTGTTTATGATTTTAATTTTCTTCGGAACTTGTTTGATTATGGGAAAGTTTTGTGTTGTCTGGCTGGCTTTACAATTTGTGTTCTCCTCATAAAACGAGCTCCACGCTTAGTTTGCTTTGCTCAGATAATCAGTGCAGATGCCACTATATTTCTGTACAGGATAACAGGTATCTTACACATGCTGTAAGAGGACAGGGCCGTATATTATTCGGCTGCCTGTTGTATTAGCTATCGCTATCTCGAAGCTAAAGCTAAATTTACGAGCGCATATATCTTGGTATACGCTATGCCTGCGGGCATATGCGATAATAAATGTTCTTTGCCATCAGCGAGTTGTATTTAATTGAATTGTACTTCTGCGGGCTGCTAACACGCTGTGTCCAGCGCTTGAGTGCTGCAGGAGTGTCGGAGCGAGTGCCAACCTGGCAATCAATATGGACCACGACGCACAGCTGAGATTTGCCATTTATGATGCCCTTGACACAGTTGCGGGCGGACTTTAATTGTGCTAATGCTGACAAATGGCAGTTGGCATTGCAACGCATTGCTGCATTGGATGAAAGGCCAAGTTGGGTATGGCTGTTGCAGTTGCAGATTCCCCGCCTGCAGGTGGACCACAAATGCTGCCATATATTTTGTCAAGCCAAATGGCATTAGGTAAAAGTTGCTTTAAATGAAAATCAATACATGGGCATAACCTACTTTGGTGGGCCGTTCCGGTTTTGCTGTCTTTTTTTTGGGCTCTTCCCATGTAGTTGCGCGCACCACACTGCTCATTATGTGCCACAAATGAACCACACACAAACAACGGAAATGAGTCGGAAATTCTCATTTATGGCGCCCTTGACGCCATTCGCTATTTCCACTATCCTATCTATTGCCCTCGACTGCCTTGGTCTGCCTGCCTGACAAGTTGGCACTGGTTTCTGTTACAGATACTGCTTCTGATTCCGCTTCTGATTGCTGTAGCCATGAGATTTATGTGCTCTCGTGATATTGACGATGATGATGATGCGGCTTCTGCTGCTGTTGATTTTGCGGTCGACGGCCAATCCCATTGTCAGCATAGTGACCCACTAACTGAAATTGCAAATACCTTAAATACGAGCGGATCACAAAATGGGTGACTTTAAGGGAGATGAACTTAAAAGAATAAACATTTATGCAACTATGGAGGACGTGTCTTCTCATATTAGATATATATATATATAGACTTATATATACACGTAAACGTAAACGTAAATCAAATGTTGTTCAACCAATTTTCCATTTAGCCTCTCAACCGCGACGTGGCACAAAATTTATACAGAGCAGGAGTCATAGGCAAAGGTTATTCACCCACTCTGGCATGGCTAGTATATAGAGCCATAGAAAAGTTTTTGGGCATAGAAAACATTCTGCATTAATGGCCATGTACACAAATGGTCTCGAGTCCTTGGGCCCAAAGTGTTTGCGGTCTTGCTTGCCTGGTTTAACGTGACCATTGTGCCCTTATAGAATTTCTGTAAATTAGTTTTTACACCTGACTGGCTGCTGCACACGCACACACACACTTACATATATCTCTGTGTGTGTGTGCGGGTGTGGGTCATTGCCTTGTGCGCTGAGACACATGTTTGTTTGATCCCTCGATGCGTGAACTTTACTTAATCGCTTGATTTTTGTTTTAATTAAATTGAGCTGCAATTGAATTCGTTGCTGCTGCATCACGTCTAGACAGAAGGCGTATCGCTTGTGCGTCAGCAAATTATTTCCCAAATATATATGTTTGTATCTGTACTCGCACGTAACTTACAATGTTGTGTGTATTTTAAATTGTGTTGTGTAAATATTGCAACATTTTGGGTTCACCTCACATTTTATGGCAGCTGGACCCGGGCCAGATGAAAGCGAAAGAGCTTGAACGTTTTCACGGGCTGCGACCGTTCCTAAATCTAATTTGAGAAGTACTAACCCGTAACGCAGCAATGGCCATATATCAAAAGCAAGTTCCACGCCCACCTACACACACCCACACACATACACACACAGTTTACCTTGCGAATTTACGAGCGCGTCCAAGCGACTCTCCCAAAAATGTTGCCCATAAAATTTGTCTGAGCAACATGGGTGGGCGGCCATATTGTGGATTGTGAATCTATATGTGTACGGCAGTCGGAAGCTGCATCTAAGCCCTCCAGATGTGCTCGTATTTTGTTGTGTCTACGTAACTGTTGAAAGTCAGGTGTGGGCAAATTGGAAACGACAGGCACTTGGTGCACCTGTCTTCGGAATTTGTCACCGGCTGCGCTTTTTGATTAATGTTCGCACAGTTGAACAATGCGTCAAACTGATTGACTATTGAATGTCTAATGGGAGTGACGTTTACGTTAGTAACAGGCTCAGGGATTTTAGAGAGTATCATGTTTTCATAGCATTCGTTACACTACATTAAATACTACACATCAGTCAAAAATTAACACACGTCCGCACGAACACAACAAATACTCGAAAAAATAAATAAATATTGCGATCTGTGAATCTTGAATCATGGAATTTGTTTTGATCGGCGAGGAAATCAATATTAGCCGAACCGATGGACGCATCCACACGGCAGTTGTTGATTCCAAACAGTTCGAGGTGCAGTCAATAACTGTTGCATGGACAGAGGACTCCAAGCTGATGGGCAAGGAAATACCTTGGAGCTCTATAGTGGCTCTCAATCCGCATCTAATGGAACGCACTCAACTGCCTGTACAAGACTACGACGATGAGAAATATAACTTATCAGATGTTGAGAATATGGATATGGATGATTGTATGGACGAACCTTGAGTTTTCATGTTGAAATTAAAGAAAGCGCTAGAGCTATTACAATGACAGCTTACTGTTGTTTACATATTACTCTAAGCTCAGTCTATACGAGTATTAACCCTTATCATTTATAGCCTTGGGCTTTCATCTGCTCAACAACCCACACGCCTTCCGCTTATTTAGGCAACTTTCCTCACATTGTTAAGGTCTGCTGACCTAGACTCTAGACAAACAATTTGTTGTATGCATTCTCATGCATGCTTCAGTGAAATTTATATATCATATTTATGGCTTTAAAAATTAATTAGAGACGTCCCAACCTGAAGTTATTCAATAATTCAGGCTGAACTACACAAGATTAAAGCCTCAGCTCTGCCCATTATTTAGCTTAGGTCCTCCCAACGCGCTTACTTTAACTTTACATGATTTATTTAATTGTTTTATATATAAGCATACTTATGCCTTCATAAATTTAAAATATATTAAATAAGATTCGAGTATAAATTCAAGCTGCATTTACATATTAAATATAAATATTTTTTGCTAAACTTAAGACAAAAGTTTATATTGCGCAAAATCTAAATTTGATACAGAGCAATTGATAGCAAGGGAGAAGTAAGAGAAAAGATGCATTGAGATTTTCTGGCTATATATCTGCACAGTGCACCGCTCTAGTTTCACTTCAAACCACCCAGGTGAAATAAAAACTTTTTGCCCTTTATATTGGCCATTGCGAGAAAGTAAGCAACTTGGTTTTTTTTTCTTAGCTGGAATACAAATTTATGAGCAACCAAAGCGTAATCAAGACTCTGAAACAATGGGGCAAAAGAAAGAAGGTGGATTTGTTAACTTGGTTAACTGCTGAAATTCCCGCATGATGTGTAACCAGCAGACGAGGCAACAAGCAAAGTTGCGAAGAAAACTTTGCTGCAGCCAAGGAATGGTAAAAAGAGATGCCCTCAAGAACGCATTCAAATAACAACACAATAAAAATACAAGACTTGCAGTTTAAGACGTGACTTTACTTATAATGATAGTTCGCATCTTAATGCCAGAGGTGCCAAGGGATGCCATCTTCGACAGGTTTCGATTTCGCTGTGAAGCTTGTCATGTTGAGAACGGGAAAATGTTGCCACATATCGTCGTAGAGGTTCTGGTAGAGCGCATTGATCACGCGATTGGAGGTGACGACAACGTTCTCATAGTTGCTGCCGGTGCCCAGCTTGGTCCAATTAAGCGAGCCTGTCATCAGGTAGCCCCTGCGACACCAGAGGCGACTGTGCCAGCGCTGCTGCTGCTTATCCAGTTCGACTATGCGCTGCTCCCCATCGATAATGCAGAACTTGTGATGCATCATCACTTGAAGCGGCGAGCAGCGCGCTGGCATGTCGGCTGCCACCAGGTGTTGCACCACCGAGCCCCGAGCATAGATCATCTGCGAGTCGGTGACCAGACGTATGTTAACGCCTCTCAGCCAGGCGGCAGCAATGGCGCTGTAGAACGCGCTGTGCGAGAACGTCAGGTGTGCTATGTCAATGGACACCTGGGCCTGGTTGATATACATGATGACTCGCTCCACACGGCACGTTTCGCAGTACTTCTTGGGGCAGTCCGGTATAACATGGCGATAACGGCATTTTTTAGGCAGCTCATTGAAGATAATCACATCCGTATGATCGGGCTCACCGTACACCAGCAGCCAGAGCTTGTACAAACTGTACTCGAAGCTGAGAATCAGTTTAACTATGGAGTCTCTAGTCAAGTGACTCAAAATGCTTAGGATCCGAAAACTGCTGAAATAGAGCAGACTTTCAATATATAATAATAAATTTAATTATATTACAAATATTGTCTCACAGTAGCTCGAGCATTGTAGGCAGGAAGAAACGTTTGTCGTTCAGCGGCGAGCTTGAAGTGATGCATGCATGAGTTATCGATAAATCATACTTATCGGTGCTCTTCGATAGACGCATGGCCATCTATGAATGTTTTCCATTCACAATTCATCAAATATTTTAATGAAAGCTTGCCCTCCACCTATATCAACGTAGCCTAATATTAATCTATATTAAACAATTGCTCATAGAATGAAAATCGGATATATTTAATACCGTACATCAGCTATTTTCAGTAATACAACGAATATTAGTAGTATTAGCAGCAGCTGTACAACTTCTATGGCCTCGAACAGCAAATCGTGGGCTTTCACGTGTTTTACCGTTGGCTGCTCGGGCTCGCTGCCCAGGTAGATGCACGCGTTGTTCCCATTGAAGACGATGTGACCCGAATGACGCTGTATTTTAACCACGTTCGAGTTGCCAGAGACTTCCAGGCTGCAAGAGTTAACGGCTTGAGCAGTACCTTCAATGTCAATTACCTCCATCTTGGCTTTTATTGAAAAAATTCGGACTTCAAACTGTCTGGCTCTTGATGAAATTATTTTTCTAAAATGAATTGAGTCGATAAAATCGATAATTCAAAGCTCTGTTCAGTACGGGGAGACAAGCCCACTGCAACAGCAGAATGAAACAAAAAATATCAAAACAAATCAAAATTGAAATTTAATTGATATCGTAACGTCTGCAAATGCATTAACTATCAGTTTTCGAAGAATTCGCATAACTTAAAAGTGCTTACTAAATATTTGGCTGGCAGTGCGCTTGCTCTTCAAACTTCCAAAGTGTCATCTTTGGTTCAGATGACGACGATGATGATGATGATGGTGATGGTGATGACTGCAAACCGCAAGCTGCTGTAGACAATTTCCTGCTTTTGCCATTACTGCTGCAGCCAAATGGCACGCTTTTCCCCAGATGTCGAGAATTGCAACTAATTTCATGCGATGGCAGTGCCAAATCAGTTGCTCCAAAAACTTTATACAGACACAAACTCATGCAGGTCCTACACACTTGCAGATCTCATTTCAAAAACTTTAAAATTAGTTAAGTTACGCTCAGCTCGGATACCAATAAAGCTGCCCCAAAAGTGAACAAACAAATTTATATACTTATGGGCAAAGAGACTAGCTCACACTTATATGTTTTTCGGTCTTGGGCTTGGGTTTGAGCTCGGGTTCGTTTGAATGTATATAATTGGAACAACTTTGGTTGGTTCTTCACGCTTTGATGTGGCCTCGGCATTGCGGCATATCCAAAGTTTTAGTTAAACTTGATAAACTTTCAATTAAATTAGCAGACACGTTGCTCCAGATGGCCTACGAAAAACTTGCCAAGCCACATTTTCTAATAGATGTTAATTATTTTTCTCAAGCGAAGCTGCTTAACTGATTTTCTCTTTAAAATACTTTTCATTTTCTGGGCTACAAGTGAAAGTACATTTTACCAATTTCGAATTTCGCACGGTACAAAACCCCATAGAAGCTAAGGACAATTTGTGTCCTTTAGCTTTGGAAAATACATGAAAAAAGGGAAAAGCACAAAACATCAACTAAATACAACCAGGCAGCTTTAGCTTTCACAAACAAAAAAAAAAAAAAGAAAATTTTGTTGCTGTTCTTGTTGTTATTCTTTTCCTTTCTTCTTTTTTTTTGCCTTTCTCCCCTTTGCTTTAACTCGCCCTTTACCCTGCACCATTTCCACTTGCTGGTTAGATGGTTTTAGCCAAAGCACTGCAGTGGCAAAGAATTTAAGAGCCAGACTAGGTGCGGATGCTGCCGGGGCAATGCGGCAGCTCGAAGCAAAATACTTAAGTTTTAACCCAAATTGTTGCCAACAAAGCGGTTTGTCTAACATTCTTTCAAGAAAATGCTGCGAAAAAGTGTTGGCCACAAACACACACCTACACATAAATAAAAAGCCAGATGAAGGAGAAGAAGCAAACACACGAACAAAGCAGTTTGTGCCCAAAGAGTAAACAGAGCCCCCAACTTAAAGCCCAACGAGCAGCCCGAAAAAATCTAGGGTATCAAAACAATAAGCTTGGCAAGAAATTGCATGCGTGGGTTTCCAAATGTGGCAAAAGGCTATATATAAAAGGACAAAATAAAATATAAGTTTTAAATATAAAGTTGACTCAAGTTAAAAATAACATAGAAAAGTGCAAAAAGTGAAATCAATTTAATATCGGTTCAGTTAGGAACGAATGGAAACTGAATCGATAAGAGGCCACTTCAGTTTCTATTTATATCAGTCATGAAGTGTTGAGATAGAGTATCTCTAAATCTGCATGCCACCAAACCCATCTATCGTATTAAAGCTACTCTCTGGGTCTACTCGCTTCCATTATCCGCCAGCAAAAAGCAATTGAAGTGCACTTGGAAACCGCCCGCGCACACAACTTTTTCCACTGACCGAAAATGCAATTGTAATGAATTACTTTTGGCAAATGAAGCACTTGAAGTGAAAGTTTGAACAGCTTTAAGTTGCCGTGGTTGGGCAATTGAAATGTGGTCTTCGAGTGGAGTCATCGAACTAGCCTCAGTGCATAAGTAAATGCTATAAATCCCCTCCCAGCGAAAGTAGCGGGATAACGCTGGAGAAACAAAAACTGTAACTTATATTGCGGTCTGGCGTTAGTCTACGGCTGTCTGCCTGCCAGCGACATGTTGACCTTAAAAACTTGACGTGTTCAAATGTTGCAAAACAACTCAAGGGCTTTCGACTTGAGGACTTTTTCTGTTCGACCCCATGCATCCTATGCAGCTCTGTCTAACGCCCACACACACACATGGCCCTCTGTTTGACGCACATGAAGTGCCGCACTTGAAATATGCTTTTTTGCCCCCAGCTGTACGAAGGGCTGCAGCAAGAGTGAGAGAGGGAGAGGGAACATATATGGTAGGTGTGGAAAATGTGTTTTGACAAGTGTCACTTATGCGTAGCTACTATGAAATATGCAAACCTGTCAGCTTTGCCCACCACCTCGCCCTCGCCCGGCCTGCCTTGTTGTTGTGATTGCTATTGAGCAAGCTGCACACAGGTGATCAGGATGCAATGCATAGAGATGCGCTCTTTCGAGTGTGCATAAAAAATGGAAGAGGATGTAATTAATTTGCAATAAGCAATGGCTAGAAAAAAAGGAAAACGTGTGTTTGACTATTTCAGCATAAAGAAGAGCATTAAAAGCTGTTCGTCGTGTGAAAGGAAATGTCAAAAAGAATTATGAATTCAATAAACTACAGAAACTAGTGAACAGGCAGATTAATGAAACATGCATCGCACTACAAGTTTGATGTGGTTGTGCAACTAGAATTAATCTAGTTTGTCCTCGAAACCTTAACTAGATTTGCCATTCGCTTGGGCTTTACTTCTCGCCTGGCTGCCCAATAAATTATAATGCTGCAGAGGCGCCAAGATAATGTTAGTTACCATTTAATATGCGAACCTTTTGCGTGCTTAAAATTTTCAAATAGAGACAAAGCCGTTGACCGTTGGGAATTTGTCTATAAATATTAAACCAACACTTCAAAATGGAGCCCGAGCAGCTAAAGCATATTCAATATATTTGATCTAAATTTAAGACCACTAAATTCCCAGCGGACAGTTGGGCTGGCTCAACTGAGAGCGCCGCACGCGGCGTATACGTAATGTGCTATTAATATTTAAGCCACGTTAAAGAACTTTCAGCTGCGCCTTAAAGCGCTTGCCATGCCGTTTCGAATGCCAAGTCCCAACCCACAGCTGGACTCATTTGTCAGTGTTAAAAGTTTTTGGTAACACCAACACCCGCAGTGGCAGGGGCCAACCCTTATTAATTAGCATTTAACCGCAATCTAAGGCGTTTCTTTTTATGGGAATGGAAACGGGAGTGGGAGCGAAAAGGTGTGCTGCCTTAAATAAAAATATAAACAACTGCACAATTGTTGCAGTAAGTGACTCCCAAGGCTTCAATTGGCAAACAAACAAATTTGTTTGCTGCACGTGTGTTTGTATGTGAGGCATGCCACTGCCTTGGAATTGCTGAGGAAATGTTGGCAGTTGTAGCCTATATCGAAACATAGTCCGAACATTCCCTTAGCTTTGCTGCATTTGCATAATAACACCTTTCGGCACCTGGCAGTTGTTGTCCTCGTTGCAAGTCAAATGCAATTTGCCGCATAGCTACCAAGTTGTTCACACCTTTTGCTGTTCCTGTGCCTCGGCAGGGGGTCGAATGCGTAAGAATTGCGGCACATTTCTGTACGCTGCAAAGCGCAGACTTAATAGGATGAGGTAACTTTTAACCATAAGCCATGCACTTGGCTCTATTGTGCCTCTGTCTCCATTCATTTTTTTGCTTTCAGTAAATTGCAAATTGCAAATCAAAGGGGCCCCAATTGAGAGCAGGCCTGAAACGCTTAAAAGCAATTACGAATTCCGGCTGTCATTTTGCTGGCGAACCGGAAGTCATTATCATGGCAAACAAAGCGCAACAGAGACGGCAGCCACAGCTAACCACAGCTACAACAACAATAACAACACAAACACACCATTACATGAAGCATTTTGCGCCTTTGCGACAACTTGGACTGGCTCCGGGTCCGGCTTCGGCTTCGACTACGGTTTGCCCTCATTATCGAGTTAATTATGTGCGTGTGTGTCTCTGATGTGTGTGTGTGTGTGTCTGACCATAGGTAATTACAACTAAGCTGTGTCGGGCAGCTTCTATAGGTTGTCAATGATGTTCCCTGCCCGCCATTGAGTTTTACACCTTCGCCTCATTGTAATTAATTCGCAAGGCGACTGACTGCCCTAATGATGTGGTTTGGTCTATACGGTAATGAATATCTCAGCCGGAACGAACACAAGGCCCACCTCCAAACCGCCCAACTGATTAAGTATGAACCATTGCTTAAAGCCGGAACATAAGTTCCAACTTGACAGAAACTTCTGACAATGAGATTGATCTCTTATAGAAATAATCACTGCAAAATATTATCGAAATGGTAATAAAACCAGATTCGGGTGTAAATATATTTTAATTCTTATTTTTTTTTTTCAGATTTTTTAAGGGCTTTCCAAATTACTTCTGTTTGAAGTATTTTAAATCGCACTTACCGGCTTTCTGTCTCGTTCTTTTCGCCTCGGCCTGACTCTGTCGTTCACACTCGCCATTTGCCGTTCATTATCAAAGACCCAACTCAATGCTTATCCTGAAGGTTAATTACATTTATCCAAACGCAACTGACCCCGCAGGACATTGACTTAATTTCCCCAGCGTTTTTTTTCTCCTGTTTTTTTTTTTCTTTCGTTCGTCCTTATTTCTGTCTGTTTTTTTCTGTGTGCTTTTTAATTTTTTAATGCCTAAAAAATACAGCAGCAGCAGCAGCAGCAACAGCAGCATTGAGCCAAATGGGCCTGTAAAGCGCTTCCAGCGATTTTGGCGATTTTCAGTATATTTTTCCCTTGGAGTTCTCTTCCTTTTTCAGTTATTTTTTCACTGGATTCTGTTGTGCTCGTTGAAGCGCCTAAATGGTAATTAAAAATTGTTGCATTGCCGCTCGAATGCGTCTGATATTTATGTAGTTTGGCGCTTTTGTAATTTGCGTTTGTTTTCTTATTCGCTTTTATATTGCTTCCTTATTATTATTATTTTTTTTAAGAAACAATTTAATGGGTCGAGCTGAAGGCGAAAGCTGCTTGGCCGCTGCAGTTTCTTGTTAAATCTCAATTAAAGTATGGAAAAGTAAAGTAGTTAAACTTTATTGGAATTTCTATCAGTTTTTTATTGCCGGAGCTCAATAAAAAAATTGCTCGGATGCTCGAAAGCTCGTCAAGTTTTTAGTTGTAATTCTTTTTTGTTTTTGCCTCCATCTTAAAGCTGCGTCCGTGTCCTATGCAATATGCAACCTACATCGAGTGCTATACGAAAGCAACAGGAAAGAGTTTCTTGTTCTTCTTTTTTCAATTTTTTTAGTCACAAAAAAACTGCCTGCCAACTAACCAAGCCCTCTCACGTAGAGCTCGACACTTGGTTCTCCGTTGTCCCTTTTTTATTTTATTTTTTGCCTCTTTTGAGCAACTAAATTGCCAAAATCGAATGCACTGCCAAATAAATTTTGATTTTGACAGCAATATTCGGGGAAACTGCCAACTTTTGTGAGGCGTCAGCACGTTTCGGGCCAGGACGAAACGTGCAGGTGGAAGAGCACAAAAGCTGTATCTGATGACGAAGTTGTCGCAAAATCCTTTCTCTGTTCCACTCGCGGCTGCTGCTGCTGCTGCTGCAACGGTTGCTGTTGTAGCCTGTGTTAAGTGTTGAGGCCAGAAGCATCCCAAAATCCGCCACAGTAGCAAGCTGTGCTCTGGCCAGGGACAGGACCTAATCCTAATCCTGGTGCACGCAATGGATGGCACTGGCGCAGTTACAGCAGCTGCAAGGACTGCCGTATCGTGTTATGAAACATGGCACAAAGTTAAGTTCGTTCTGCCTCTACCCTGTGCATAGCTCAGATAGGGGTATGCCAAAATCGAAGCCAGCGAATTTCAAAATATTCATCTGTTGTTAACAACCTGTAAATAAAAGATCTAGTTAGATTACGAACTAGGTCAACGAGGAGCTTTGGCTGTGGAAGCACACACCAGTTGGGTGTGTGTACAGGATACCTCAAAGCCCAGTCCCATGGCGGGTGCAAAGCAGACCAACTTGTTTTTGTCTCTCTGCATGTTGCGCTTTCACATAAAAACCAACGCCAAATCCTGTGCGCTTCCCTTTTCGCTGTGAATTCTCTGTGTGGAGTGGCCCATTCAGTCGTTGTAAGCTTAAATATTTAATTTTATTACGTCAGAAGGCGAGCGCAGCGGATTCAAACAGATAAATGCTTACTCAGAGAGATCAGTCCGCAGTACGTAGTGCGCCCAGCTTTGAGCTGTGTGTCCAAAGCGAAGTTGAAAAGGATGCGCCGCCTATAAGGCTACACACACACACTCGTACACACGCCCCATTACAGCTGACTGGCTGAGAGGAAGCCCTTTGCATATTGGAAGTATGCCGGGTTGCTTTCAGGCTTCAAGTGGCACTCGGCTCTAAGCTGGAAATTGGCAGCATAATTATGTAATTTAAATGGCAGCTGTTGTTTGACTAAGCTAGTCAAGCGAATTAGTCAGCTTATTCGGTAGGCTGATGCAGCTGAAAGGCGCTGGCAACTTCCATTTAAGCACAGTTTATAAACAGTACAGAATTCTCTACTCAAAACCAAGCATCTCTTAGACCACTTTCTTCGCAAAGCAAGAGCATTCTTAGTTTGGTTTTTGTTTCGTGTTGAAAGGATCCGCAGATGCTTTAGCTATACAGAACAGAAACCCCAACCACATCCGCAGGATATTGCTAGCAGCTCGCAAACGGATGATGCTCGACATACGTGAAGCAGCAGCTTCTAGACTGATTCCTTAAGCGACGACCTGTCGGTTATTTGTTGAATTCAATTAGAGCAGCTGTTAGCTGCGCAGTGGAGCAATGGAGCTCGAGCCGTGCACGTAATTAGTGTGGGCGTTGCCCCAGCCCCTCCCGCAAATTGAACTCTCACGCAAGCCGCAGGACACGAAAAATTGCAAATTCTCGTCGTCTCGATGACGCTGTACGAATTCCATTGGGGCGCCAGCAATAATTTCGTCAATGTTATTGTTTGGTTTTCTCTATAAATACGATTTCCAAGTGGGCTACTACACAGCAGCGATATTGATATATGAGTCGCAGTCATGCAATGCGGCAAATGATAAACAGCAACGCCTTCCATAACAGCTACAAAACAATTGAAGTGAGCTAGTGCCTGGTGGTGAGTCAGGAGAGTTAGCGAGCGAGAGAGTGGGGCATTCAATAAGTTAACTTGTAATATTCCCAGAGTATTTACTCCGAACAAATATACACCAAATGGAATCCTGCTCGCGCCTAAGCAGCTGTAAGCTGTTCTTGTTGATAAAGAAACACATGCTTCCGATACTGTGCTTTGGCTGTTTGTGGTCTCAACTAGTTGAGCTCTTTCAACTTCGGAGACAGTCGACCAAGGCAGCTGCAGGCGTTGGAATAGTAACAGCAATGGATGCTCAAACAACTTACGATTATGTAAATCTTACGGAGCAAATCAAAGGTACTGAATTTCATATACGTACGTAACGAGCACAACTAACAGATAATCCTTGAAGCAAATACCAGAAACAGCTCTTCGGTGGAGAACAATTCGAGGTACAATTTCATGGTGGTCATTGCTACCATTACGTGGCTTCTGCTCAGTTGCATAAGTAAGTTATTTGCAGTGCTGGTTATAAAGACTTGGCTTAACAGAAGAAGCTCCCCCGGCAGGTGCATTTATCTACTGCTGCAATTATTGGGAACTGTTGAAGTCCTCGCCGAGAAGAGCTGGAGCGGAAGAGTTGGAGCTATCGGAGCAGTCGCAACTGGAACAACAGAGCATGCTGCTTACACAGGTCAGCGAGGTGAGCAGCAACTGAGGTGGGGAGATTCTGGCACGGAAGCGACAGGAAGGTCACAACAGCGGCAGAACAATGCGAAAACAAAATAAATAAGCCAAGCACGGCAAAGTACTGAGCGACACAAAGGCAGAGGCAGTCGAAGAGAAAGAGCAGCAGCTGCTGGCGATCAGCTGCAGGGCAATATGGCGACGTGCAGCTTCCATTTCCGTTTCCGTAAACTTAATTCCATACACACAGATACACACACACACACATACACACAGAGAAACATACGGAGTAAAAAATCAGCATGTGCTGCTGTTTCCTTTTGTGTGTGTTTTCGCCTTTGCGTTTTGCGCTTTGCACTGTTTAGTTTTTCTTTTCAATTTTGCTTGCTTTTTGTGCTCTGGCCCAAAAAATATTTTATTACAGCTGCAGCTAAAGTGAAGTATATACATTTTCGGGTTGGCCTTTCATTCCTTTGCCAACACTAAAATAGCGTCTTTTATGCAAATTTACAATGAAAGCTGAGTGGGCGAGGGTGAGCTAACATGACTTCCGCTACCTAACTGGCTTAATTTGGAGAGGAAAGCAGAGAGTAACAAAAATTAAAAGCCAGCCCGAAAAAAGGTACAACAAGAAGTTAAAGTCTTTCGGCTTGAAAGAGTTGAGCTGAGCGAAGGACTTTAACTTCGTTGGGTCTTATATAATTTTAAATTTTGAATATTAGATATGCACTGATGTTGCCTGGAAAACTAGCGAGGCCTGTCTTGACCTAACCAATTATATTATCTCTGGCACAAATCATGCCAGCACATCAAACAACCCGGAAGAGCTAATGCCTGCTGGCACTGTTTGTTTGTGTAACGCCTGAAAGTTTTGGTAAACTTTTTTGGCAGCTTTTGTTTAAATTAATAAAACAACAGACAATTTAACGCACTTTGTCGTACAAACAAAGTAAAATTAACTAAATTTTCAGAGCAACGGCAGCACAAACATTAAGCAAACAGCCAAAAAGTATGCTTTAACTTTGCGCATTACATAAATTCACACACACACACACTGAAAGAGAGAGCCAGTGCACACACACACGCTGAAAAGCTAAGCGAACAAAGGCATGGGAGGAATAGACAAAGAGTGAATGGAGTGGTGCAAACTAGAGAAAGAGCCATAACATTTATCATGACCACTTAAGGATGCTTAAAATACACAAGAACAGCACGCACCGAGCTCTAAGGGAAGGGCGGTCGTTCGGGCGGACGGCGGTGGGGGCGGGGCTTGGGGTAACTTACAAAGTAACCAACAACCAGCAATAGCAACAACAATACGCTTTGTTAAATCAATTTGATAAACTGTCAATAATGCGCCATAATTTAATGTGCTCTCCCCAGACACCCTACCCAAACAACAACAATAACAAGGCTGAAGCCACCCTGAAGTTGTTTTCAGATCCGCTCTGACTGTTGTCATACGCAATTATGATGAACTTGGGGCTCATCCACATCCACTGACAGCTGCCCTATTAGCACTTTGTAAAGCAAAGACAAATTTTTGGTTTGCCGGACAAGCGAAATGTTTGATTTTGAAAAGATATCACGGCCATAGACGAAGATGAGCAGGCAAAGAAGGCAGCAATAGGAGAAGCAGAAGGAACTTGAGCCAGCGCTTCACTGGACAAAAGTGTCATAAAGCAAAGACACATAAGCAGATGGAGCTGAATCGGGAGCAAGATAACAATGGCAAGCAGCGAAAATGATGAGAACGATGACAACGACAAGAAAGTGGAAGCACTCGGAGCTAGGAGTGGGGTAGGGAGCAAGCGCGGGGTCTGTGTGTGCGTGTTCTGAATCCTTTTGTGCCATTTTGGGGGCTGTTGGAAACGACCTTCATAAAACAAACACGCCGATAATGAGAGGCAGTCGAAGTGACGTTTGGTGCCATCGCTGGGGGTTGAGGCAAAGACAGAGACAGCGACAGTGAGCGGCTGGGCTGGGCACCTTTGCCAGTGGAAGATGGCATCGGAAGCGGACGCGGAAGCGGAAACGCACATTCGGTGCCAGGCGCCATTTTGCCCGCTGCTAATGTGAAGAGTTTTCGGGCACTGAAACTGCGCCTTCGAGTTGCCCGGGAGTGCAACTAACTAGGCGATAATCGACATTTGATTTGGTGCGGCACAAACTTTCAACTGCGAGCTGGGTTTTGCGGTAAAAGGATTCCCACAGAGCTTAAGCAAGTCTTGCGAAATCGACGAATGTTGAAAATACGTGACACAAAGACACTGAACCAATAAACATTCTCGCTTGCCTCAATAAACACATTTAAATTATTTAGCACTCGCTTAAGAGCAATGAACAATTTGTTTCACTTTTGCCTGGAGAACTGTGAAACTTCAATTTCTCTGGGCATACTCTAGAAATATAAAATAATTTGGAAGTAGAATTTTTAGAAACTATTTAGATTATGAGTTTTGCCAACAATATTTCTCCGTTGCATCCAGGCGAAAATTGTTCAGGAAATAACTCTGGGCAATGGGTACTATATGAAGCCAATATTTTTTAATATTTATTTTCAACTCGAGACGGGAGTAGCTCTTGCAATTGCTTCACGTAACACCTTTTGACTTTCTGCACAGCTGCACTTGAGAGTCATTTGTCATATGGCTTTGTGTCTGGCACACACGTAGCTCACCTGGTGGGCGTAGCTGGCTAAGGACGTGGCCGTGACGGACTCGCCATTGTCAAGGCGTCTTGCAACAAACAAACAGAAAAACAAAATAAAAAAAAAAAACAAACAAGAAAATCAACAAAAATGAGCGAACGTGTAGAAGGGTTTTTTTCCTCGTCGCTTGAAGAGGCTGATGGGGTCGTGTTTCCTCTTGAGACGCAGCCAAATGCGCGCGAACGTGTTTGATATGCACTTCACTTGCCGTAGGCTTAATTATCGGCCCGGAAGGAGGCTGTACATATATATGGTCTGTTCGGCCAGATAAATATTTAAAATACCAATGAAAGTCGTCAGAAATAACAGATTTAGTTAAAGCTCTTTGCTAACAAATTCAGCGGATTACAACAGAAATAAGTCGAAGCTGACGGAATTTTCAATGAAACTGAAAGTTGGAACAGCCCTAATAAGTGCTTTAGAGGATGTTGTCAATTTATGCAAGGACAACAAGGACAGCATTGAAGGAATGACAAATGAATATCGGATTAGTTCTGAGCTGTTGCCTCCACTCAATTGTCATTAGGTTCGTTGCGTTCCACGTTGTTTTCATTTCATTTCCAGTAGACTTTTATGCAACAAGCCAGGGCTTGCTTCAGCTGCACAGAGGGTGGCTGGCGAGGTACACAAGGGCTGCTGCCTAACAAGGACATCTCCTCAGCCTTTTGACAAGCCGCTCATAGTGAAGAGCCTCATCAAAGTGGTCTCGGACAAGATGATCTCTACGACATCGCGACATGGCAGGAGCAGCGAGTAAGCGATCGTCTTTGTGTCCTTTACAATCAGCATTCGCCTCCATGCAGCATTGCTGTTGCAACAAGCAACTATAAGGATTCCTGTGCAGCAACTCGATGCTTGTTCCGGATAGATGTGAATGGCTTCACCTTGCCTGATTTGATGGCATTGTCTAAAGTGCATGAGCAACGGCAAGTTGTATAACATTTTTCCCTCAAAGAGGACGACAAGTAATTCCCAGTTGTCGTTGCATTATTACTGCGCTGCGTGAACGTCATGTGAAGCAGTGTACAATAAGCTGCCACCCCCATAAGCTGCTTGTAATAACATCTATTTAATTGGCTGGCAGCAAATGATTTTCGACTGGCAGCGCAGACCTACAAAACTGCAAAATGGAATATGTTTTATAGAAGTCTATGGAGTGTAACTGCGTTATTATTTTGCATTTGCTTTAATTAATTATATTGTATTTGCTTTAAGCGCACTCAACTAGAAGTAAGATAATTGAGCAACAAGAAGAGTTAGATAGTTGGCTATTATATATGTCTATAACTATTCTAATTCAATCATGATTAGCATAATAAACACCGTTTGTAATATATTTGAAAGGCAAAAACAACTAACTCTTCCCTACCTATTCCCGAGCTGATTGGCTAATTGATCAGGTAAAATAAACTTGCAGTTGAATAAGTTTCTATACGAGTTTGGCAAGTGAGAAGGCCCAGGAGGCTTAGCAAGATTGAGTGCAATGTCTGCTGATGAAATAACTAAACAGACAGCCAGCTTTGATTTTGTCTGATTACGAACACATCCAGTTATATATACACAGATAATATTGTTATTTTTAAACATTTGCAACAAGATTGTGCTATAAATAACAGAATATGTGTAGGCTGTTTGAAGTGCCGGCAACTGTTGCCAAAGTTTTGCCGGCCAAAGTTGCGCAGCACTCGCATCCCGGAATGCGCGCTGTAGTTGTTCTTGTTGCGTCTGTTTGGCGTGATTTTTCGACATGCCGACACTTGTTTTGGTCTAAGTGATTTAGGTAAAAGTTTTGGGGCTCCCCCTGCAAAATAAAAGGCAGCGGAAATGTATCGCTGAGCGAGAGCAAAACTTTCGCTGTACATAATCGTTGCTCGTCCCGGCGGAAGTGAATCAAAAGAAACAGTTTACAAAATTCTGTTTCTAGTAAATGAAATTTTTAAAAACTTTGCCTGTTGCCCTTTGAGCGCATTAGGCTGAGCCATCGCTCGTGTCTGCGGCACTTGGCCAACGGTTAACGCCATTGTGAAGTGAAGTTAAATCAATAAGCAATTGTTTACCTAGATGATTAGCTATGCTATACTCTGTGTGTGTTTGCCAAGCGTTTACGTGTGGATTATGTGACGACTGGCGGTTGGCATTTCACGTGAGCTGAATTGTGTACACGTTTCACAGCTGGCCGCTGCTCCACAGCCCGGTCATAATTCATTTGCATAACATTAACGGCTGCCAGGATGCACGAACATGCAACGAAAGCGTTTGAGCGTCCCTCGAAAGTGTAAAGTGGGCTAAAAACTGGGCTTAAATAAAATATGTATGCCAACGAATTATCCACAGAGCGTTTAAATATGTAGATAGTGGTGAGCTTTACTGGCCTCGCCCGGCACGGCCTGGCCTGGCCTCTCCTGTCCGGGTGCTAAGCAGTTCCATGTCATTATTATCTCAGTGTGCACTTCATTTATATGCAACAAATTCTGGGCAGCCAAATTGACTTCATATTTCAACTCTTAATATTCATGGCTGCTCAGGTAATCCTTCACACAATTGACACTCAGGTCAAATCCAAGTGAAACCTTTTGTCAATCTTCATTTCAGCTCAATTTATTTATACACTCTGACCTAACTTAAGTTTCCATGTGATGTAGTGGGACATTTTTGTGTTGTTTTTTGATTGATTTACTTCTTGAGGAGCGTGGAGACAACAGCGGGAGCGCCATAGGTGGAGACGACAGCGGGAGCAGCATAAGCGGAGTAGACAGATGGCGACACATACGAGGCGGAGTAAACGGATGGAGCAGCTGCATAGGCGGTGTAGGCACGAGGAATGGCAGCCGAGTAGACGGCCGGAGCGGCAGCATAGGTCAGGGCAGGTGCAGCGGCAGCGTAGGTGGCAACGGGCGCCACAACATGGGCCTGGGCCACGGCGACGAAGAGAGCCAAGCAAATGAGGAACTACAAGAGGCAATAGGCAATAGGTCATAGGTAAATATAACTATCCTCAAAGCAAATGTACTCAGAGCCAGAGCTAACTTACTTTCATGTTGATTTTGGTTGTTTGGTAGTGCACGACGAACGTTCTCAGAGTTGGAAGTTGGTTGACTGATACTGGTCCATGGACGAACTGCTCCATTTATACTCGCCGTCGAGCCAGAACAAGTTCTCTTGATGCGGATGTGAATTGGTAGCACAGTGGACATTAATCTGGCATATCGAATGGATTAGCTTTGTTCACCTTGCCACCTAATGGATATTTATTTTTAGGCCCTACAATTGACAATTGCGCCAGAAATATGACCGGGTGTGGGGGCAGCGCAGATTGGGCTTATTGTTTTCGATTTCACTTGCGCGGTGACAAGCAACATTGCCAGACACGAATCAAGGTGTAAAGGGCAACCAGTATAAAATAATTATACACCTATGCCTTTGTGTATCTGCACAATTGGAAGTCGCCATGTAATTTGCCTCACAAACTGTGTGTTTACAAACAATTGTGCGCGTTGGCATTGACATTCACCAAGCAGGTGTTGAAAACGACTTAATGAGCGGTCTTTTGTTTTAGTAATTTCTGGACATAGCGAAGATAAAGATCTAGATAATTATGATAAAGTAATTAAGTGTTGTTTGGCTAAATGATTTATAGTAAGAGCAACATAAATAATAAATGCCTTCAATAAAAGATAACAATATTTGGATATATTTTATAAAAGATAAGAAACCGAGTCTCTTCATACTTATCTTCCATCATCGCATCTACTTTAATCAAATATATATATATTTATCATTTTTAATCAGCTTTAAATTTGATATCGATACCATTTTGACAGCTCTTGATACTTTTGCTGTCATTAATAAAACTCGTCAAGAAATTAAGCGCCTTATGCAATATATGGATAAAAAAGTAGCAAAAAGCGAAATGTATCAACAAGCGCGAGGCAGTGGACAGGTGAGTGAAAGGGAAGCTGCATTGCTGGGCGATGTACAGGAGCTGCTTGCCTCACTGAGCTCCAGGCGTGTCAAGCTGCGCGAGTGGATACAAAAGGCCGTAAGTAGATAACCTACATTCACATATGTCACAGAGTCTGAGCAATTCACTCGCTCTCCTAATGCCAGTGGGCGTACTACAACCAAAATCAGTTTGAGGGGTTTGTGCTGCTGCTGGAGAATGCCATTACGCGTGGCAATAGGGCATATCCTGGGTACAAGGACGATCTGTTAAGGATTCACACGATGCTGGCAGCACATTTCTTTCGCCTGGCCTGCAGCGAGCATGGACATCGCAGTGCCGTGTGGCAGGAGAAGGTGGCGCAAGAGTTGCAGCACATGGACAACTTGCAGGTGGTGTCCAATGAGATTCAGCACTTGCTGTGCCGCGGCTTTGCACTGATGCTGATTGAGACGCGTCTTCTGGATGCGGACAATCATTTCGTTTCCGTGTTGCGACAGATGCCGCAGAGTGTGCCCGCGCTGCTGGGCCGCGCCTGTCTGGCATACAATCGCCAGGAGTACCGCGTGGCACTGGGCTACTTCAAGAGCCTGCTGGTCCATCATCCGCACGGACCGGTCGATGTGCGCGTGGGCATTGCCCACTGCTTCCTCCAGCTGGGCGACTTGGACAGCGCTCGACGCGCCTTTGAGATGGCCGTGCAAAGGAATGGACGCTGCATAAACGCTTTGCTAGGCATTGCCCAGCTGAAGCTCAACGAGCGCCAGCGTGCAGCCAACATGGAGGCCACGAACTTGCTGTGTGCCGCCTTCGAGCTGAACAATCGACATCCCGTGGTACTCAGCTGGCTGGCTTGCTACCTTTACTACTCTCGCAACTATGGCAAGCTGCAAACGGCGGCAGGGAATGCATATCTGATCACAGATAATCCGGAGCTAAAGGCTCAGAACTGTTTTCTGATTGCGCGCAGCTTTCATGCGACGAAGAACTACGATCGCGCCTTCGATTTCTATGGCAAGGCCCTGAAGTGTCCGACGGAATATGCGCCGCCACACTTGGGCATCGCCCAGATGTATGTGCGTCGCGGGCAGCTGGACATGGCAGAGCACTCGCTGCGATCGCTTCTCAAGCTGTTGCCGGAGAACCCGCACGGCCTGCGCATGCTGGCCACGCTCTATGCCCAGGCTGACTCGCCCGGCAAGCTGGACAAGGCCATTCAGCTGTTCAAGAGTGTGCTGGAGCGCAGTGGCCGGGATGACTACGACACCTGGCTGGGTCTGGGCGGCACTTACGAGCGCAAGCAGCTTTGGCAGGAAGCTATCAATGCCTACGAGCAGGCCATAAGCATTTACCTGCGTGTGCACAACACAGCCAACGATATACCAATCCCCTGGCTCAATAACATAGCTGCGCTGCAGCTGCATGCCGGGCAGCCATTGGCGGCGCTCGGAACGCTAGACAAGGCACTTGCCACGCACCCCAAAGACTCCGCTAAGGAGCATAGCGAGAGCAATCTGCTGACTGTAAGATTCAACAGGGCGCGCGTCTTGGAGGAGCTGCACTTGGCCGACCAGGCAGAGGACAGTTACAAGCAGCTAATTGCCGAGTATCCCAACTATTATGACAGCTATCTGAGACTGGGCGTCATGGCCAACAAGCGCAATCAAATAATCACAGCCATGGAGTACTTCAAGGCGGTGCTGCATCTGGAAAACGACAACGTGGCCGCCAGGTAGACGCCATGTTGACCTTACTCTAGATTTACTAATCCAGTCAACTCTTTGCAGAACGTACCTGGGCAACTTGTATGCCAAGCAGGGCGCCCTATCGCAGGCCATGTGCAACTACAATGTGATCATGCGGCGTCCTGGCAATTTCGGTGACTCCTACATGCTCGTCGCCGTTGGCAATGTGTGCCTGATCAAAGTGCAGCGGTCCATGGCCAACGGCCAATTGGATATGGCCAAACAATACCAAGAGAACGCGCTGCAGCTGTTTAGAAAGGTGAGTGGAAAGAAATCTGCATTTGATCTGAATCTCATCTGGATTACATTCCAATTCAGGCCCTTGAGCAAAACCAGCGCAATTTGTGGGCTGCCAATGGCATAGGCGTGGCCTTGAGCAATCACGGACACTTGGCAGACGGAGAGACGATCTTCAAGCAGATTGTTGAGTCCAGCACACGCTGCTCTGAGGCTATTTTGAACACGGCACACATAGCCATGGACCTGGAACACTATTCGGAGGCCATAGAGATATACCAGAAATGCTTAAAGGACATCCTGCCTGTAAACAGCGTGAAGGAAATGCAATTGCTGGCTCGTGCTCTCTACCACACGGGGCAGTTCAAGGAGGCCAAGCAGTTGCTGTTGCAAGCACGGCATGTGGCACCGCAGGACTTGAATGTACTCTATAATTTGGCCATTGTCATCAAGCAGGCCATCCGGGACACATTCGACTCCATGCGAACTGATCTAGCAGAGCTTCAACGAGCCGAGAAGGAACTTAAGATAGCTCAGAGGTTCGTCTAACAATTCATTTCGTAAAATACTTCGATTATTATCAATGACTTCTCTTAAAGCTTCCTACAATACTTGAGCCAAGGAGAAGAGCCAATGCAATCGGCTAACAAACAAGCCAACAAGTGCAGCAAACTCTTGGAAAATGTGTTAGAAGAGCTCAATAATCTACGCGAACTGGAGGATCATAGCAAGACACAGGTGCGCCATAAGGTTAAGAAAGATAAGGATAAGGAGAGCTCACGTAAAAAGGAACAGTCGAAAAAACGTGAAAAGACACGAGATGATGACCTGCAAGAGCCTCAAGTGATGGAGAACGAGAGCTCCCGCAAAAAACAAAGGTCGAAAAAACGGCAGGAGTCGGCAAGAGATGTTGCTGAGTACCAGGACACTGAGCTAGAGAAACCCAAGAGTGGGGAAAAATACCGCAAAAAAGAACATCTACAGGAGATACAGGAAAAGCTCAGCGATGGCGATCAGATAGAGCCGGATAACCCAACTGAGCTGTTGCCTTCCCATAAGAAAGAGCATACCAAAAAGCGTGACTTCGACGATCACCAGGTTGATGACAGGGAGGAAATCTGTAGAAAGTATTCTCACAAGTCAAGGGATAAGGATGAACGTCAAAAGGACGGAAAGGAGGTGTCTCTAGAAAGGAAGCAATCACGAAAGCACTCGAAGAAGCAAAATGATGAGAGCAAACTCGGAGAGAAAGTCCCAAGCTCTCCTCAAGTTGAGACTAAGCAGCTTCAGCTCGATACGGATAAAGCCAAATCAATAGCTGAATTACACGAAGAGCCCAAGCCAGAAGACTTAGAAGTCTCAAACAAGGAACACAAGCGTAAATCACGCAAACGAAAGCACGAAAATAGAGACTTGGCCATCGAGGAGGAGCCCAAGCGGGAAAAGAAACGCAAAAAAGAAGCCAAGGAAAAGGCAGAAACCACTTAAATGAAGGCGAAAATGCGTGGAACGAGTTATTCAAATTAAGAGTCCCTCAACACAGATGAGGAGAGATTGATTGATTGAAATAAAATACACCACAGATAGATTCGATTGGTCACTGAGTGAGTAATAACTCGCTGTCATTATTTAGGGAATGGCAATAAATGTACTGCGAATGTCGCTGCACTTAATTTCAACGTACTTTTGAATTCCCTCGAGGTAGAAATGAAATGTGCAAACAGAAAGCTCTCATACAATTTATTTGTGGACACGATATGTGACCGAACTGCCACAGAGGAGCTGGGGGACTAGCCCCGTCGAGACTGCGTTACAAATATGTATATTTAGAAATATGTGTGTGAGTGTGTCGGTGTGTGGGTGTGTGTGCACATACGTGTGTTCATTTGAATGTCAAGTCATGTTAAATAACCGCAGGACATTGGTCGACGGCTTAAATTACGCATACTTGAAGCCACTTTGTAACTGTCAGAGTCAAACGAACCGAAGTCAAATTCAAACGCGAAAAAATATGTTCGCTCATTAATATCAATTTATGAGCTGAGACACGAAATTAGTCAAGTGACAAGTTGCGCCGCAGGATGTGGACTTCTCAGCCAAATACAAACAGACATTTTCACTCATATAGACCGACATCTGAAGGCATATATGTACGTCTATGTTTAGTTTCGGGTGCCCTTTGTGGTCTGCGTCTGGGGTTTTATTGTGTTGCGTTAATTAATTCCAAAAATGTATTGCGTGTCCTGCCAAAAGGACAAATATGCACACACGAAATCATGTCATGTGGGTCCTGTTGCGTGTGCGTCTGGCTGTGTGTCTGTGTCATTAGCGACTCTTTAAATTATGAAAAATTATACTACATGCGCATGCAAAGCAAATCAGCGTCAAATGCCAGCAGTCGAGCTCTGACAGCTTCGCAGCTAAACTGGTTGAAGGATGTGTTCATGAGCTTAAAATATAAATGCTATCAAGCTTTTCCATATCAATCAGTTAGAGAGTAAATGAATTCAACGTAATCGTTATCATTTTCAGATTTAGTTCTTTATTTATTCTTGCACATATTTCGGATTTGTTTTAATCGTCTTTTTTTTTTGTTTTGATATTTAGATTTATCTTATCAAATGATAATCCAAATAAATATGAACGATTTCGCTTACAACTTAAATAATTGACAGACAAAATGCTGAAAATGTAAAACTAGGTTTAGTGACAATTTGAAATGAAATAAAAGTAAACATGAAAATATATATTCATATGGGAAGTTATATAGTTCACTTTACAATATATATTTATTAGAATTAATTTATTTTAATTTACAATTCGAGTCACATTATTATTTGATTTCGTCCATTGAAAAAGCACTTGCAATTCATTTATTTAGATGGTTCCAAAAAAACTTCTACACTTGACAAAAACTTGAAGTTTCAGAGTGTTCATTTTAGTTGTTAATCTTAAAGAGTTGAATTTGAATAAATTTTTGTGGGCGGGTGGCAAAATTTTTACATACACATTGAACGTTGGCGCGGGCATTGGATTCATTGTTTTTCAATACATACTATATACTTACATATTTGATAAAGTTTCGACAACAGATGCTCCATAAAGTTCTTTCACATTTAACAAAATATTATCATTGATATCCGAGTTACATATATCGTATGCAATTATATATATATATACACATACACTTATGTATATCTATATATATATATGTATTGATTTGCGCTTAGTTTGTTTCCATTAATTTTTCGCTATATATATTATCTTTATGTATATAATATGTTAGTTATGCCGTATAAGTCAGTAATATACTCAGGATTTGTTCATTTTTGAAAGGGGGATAGTCTTTTCGTAGATTCAATGTGACTAACTAATTTAGTTATAGACTACACGAGTTAAGTGACTATAATTAATGCTAACTTTAATGGATCTCATAGTCTTAGCCTGGTTAATATATACAATACGGGATACATCTAAATTCTCAAAGGGTTTTTCGATATACATTCATATATATATATATATATTCATATAATCATATATTCAAATATTCATATATTTTAGCTATTCATATATTTTATTTCCATTTAGTTAAGTATTTGTTTAAACTAGTTTCTTGGTGAATTCACAAGCATAGCTCATTAATTTCATTGAAGTAATTTGCGCACAAAGTATCTCAAGTATAACTAGTCCAGTATTCAACTGTTTCTTGGTACATACTCGTAAATGTAAGCTATAACTATCAGTATTGCCTGGTTTCACCGAAATACATATACAGACAATTGGTGCACTTGCACTATATGCAAACTGCTCTCTTGGTACAAGTAAACTATAAATGCTTTGTTCTCTTGTGGTTTACAGTTTAAGTTAAGTCGGTTCAACATCGCTCTAACATACTCTTAATCGCTCTGCCCTTTTGGAAGTCTTATAAATTTTGTTCGCTTCGCTTCACGCAAAATGTCTGTTGTGAATTATGTTCGAAAAGCTAGACGAAGGTGCTGGACAACTACGTAACTATAATACAGTATGGGAGTACTTGGGGCAGGGTCGTGGCAGGGGTCTGGGCAGGGGTAGGGACAGAGGCAGGGAGAGGGGCAGTTTGTTTAGACGATGGTGGTGCGCTCAGCGCCTGATGTGGTGCACGTACTGCTCCCGCCTATGCACACGATCTGACATTTAATGTCATCTTTGGCTAACTCTCAGGAGCCCATCGTCTCATAGTTACCCGCACCACCGCCGACGACGCCCATCAAGGAGCTGCCCACGCTCAGCAGCGGCGATTGAGTGCCAGCTCCGCCACCCAGCGTGCTGTAGGCAGTCTGAGTGCGCGGCGAGGTGAGCAGCGATTGGGCAGCTCCAATGGTTATGTTACCGCTGGTCACTGAACTGGTCATCGCCGCCGAGACGCCGCCCAGGTGCAAGCTGCCCGGATGTGGCAATGTATTGCACGTAATGCCACCTCCAATGCTGCCGCTGTTAGTTTGCAGGGAGCCATTCGATTGGCCATTCAGCAGCGGCATTGTGCAGGTCGTGGTCGAGCCGTAGGGCGAGGTTGGGGATGTGCGTGTCTCGTAGGCGGGCAAATAGGTGGTGGCTCCTCCATTTGGACCACTGCTACCGCGTCCCGGTATTCTAGTATAAATATTTGGTGGCGTTCGTGTGGACAATAGCGGCGGCGGAGCCGTGTAGACCGGACGCTGTGCCGCTGGCGCCCTCTGTGGCGTGTTGTACAAACTAAAAGCGGGATTGGTAGTCAGCGACAGCTCTCCATACTGCAAAGAGAGAACAAGTGTGGGTGGGATCGTTTAGGAAGTGCTCATAAATAATTTAAATTAAAAGTGCAACTTTTATGTGCTTTTTGCTTTTGCTGTCTGCTACATGCTTAAAATTCAGATAACTACTTTTTCCATGTGTGGTTAAAAGTTGGCAACCAGTGAAAACAACTTTAACTGCTAATGAGCTTATTATCCAACAACACAAACTAAAACCCAAACAAGAGTAACTTTAAATGTGCTTGACCAAAGTCAAAGTAAAAACTATGTCCAAGCTCATCAAAATTTTATGTCTAGCCCCCTTGCTAAATAAAGCGACACTAGTGTGACATGTAAGTATTTGCTGCTGTTTATTCGAGCTACTCGATGGTTCCATTACGTATAAATAGAAATCATTAATAGAAACTATGAATTAAATTGTCCTGCGGCGCTCATGGCACGACATCCATAACCAAAGCCGAAGCTTATGTTAATGATAGAGCTCGACACCTTCAATTATTTGCTATGCATTTCTCAATATTTGAATTTTCAGTTTATCCTCAAAATAAACAAAATAATTCGACTTATCGGCATGTCAACAAACTGTTAGCATTTCGGTACAAATGAGACCACATTAGAATGTTTTATTTATTTACGATCTTTGACTAATTGGTGCCAAATGTAAGCAAGCTATTTACCAATTTGTGTTGGCTGTCGAACAATAGCAGCGCCCACCCTCTGCCTACTGCCTGCCAAATCGATAAGCGTCAATAATGCGTAATAATAATTTGTGTGGTCTATGAACATGAAATCTGATATTTCTAGCTGCCCACAGAAAAGGCGAGCATAGCTGTTTACATCAGCTTAGTGTAAGTTGCTTTTCTGCAGAACTGAAGGTCGCATAGGCCAAACTCTGATATTAACTGGAATTCAGAAGCTGTGCTGCTTGATGGTCGGGCTATTGCGCTGGACTTGGCTAAATTTAGACTTCAACTTGTTAGGCTTTAGCTGAAAAACGCTCTAGAGGCTTCTTACAAACTCAGACAATTCGAGTACCCAATCGCAGCTCATAAAAACGAATTCAGAATAATTAATGGAAAAACATTTTATATAATACGACTAAAATATATATAATCATAATAGAAGTCAATAAATTGCTTGGAATTGCGTAGCGACTAAATTGTTGCTCAGTAAAGTATGCAACATAAAGGTAACCCGCAGAACGCAGCAGCGCCAAGTTATGCAATGCATTTTTAGATTGAAGACAACTTCTGACAACTTCTTTAAATTTCAAAGTAATTTTAGGTCTTCAGTCAGGCATGCATCGGAAATCATAAAAGCTAGACGCTTGCAACGAAATTAGCTAACGTTAGTTGCTATAGCGACACTCACCTGTTTGCCAAATGTGGGCGATAGCGAGGCTGGCGGCGGCGGTGAGGCGGTGTTGATGCGCGTGGGTGGCGTATAGAGAATGCGCTGTGATTCCATATTGAGGCGGTCGAAAGCCTTCTCCTCCAGATGGAACTCGTCCTCGCTGTTGGCCTCCTGCGGCACTACATCCGGGTTTTTGTCCTCCAAACTTGAATGGCTGCCCATGTTGCGAGAGAGCGGCTCAGCGCTGCCCTTGTCAGCCTCTGTTGTGGTCGCCTCGCCGTTTGCATGCCGCCGGCTCTGTTTGCTGCGGAATTTAATAAAGATCACAACACAAACGGCCACCAAAAAGAGTGTTGCAATGACGCCAACTAGTGCGCCCAGCAGCGGTGTCAATTGCACCAGCACCGCAGTCGAGGAAGCTGCAACAACAAGAACGACAACAAGGGAGAGACGCCCAGAGAAGGTGCATGAGTAAAACGATGCAAATGAGTGAGTGGCATGGAAAATGCCAACAGCACGAGAGCAGGTGGCTCTAC